AGTCTGGAGTATAATCACATTTTAAACCAATAAGACTGTAACCAGCAAATCCAGGAAAACTATTCAGAATTCTAAAGAAAATTATTCTTGCAATAAATAATATGCAAAGATTAGTCTTGGAGGCATTCTGAATTGGTATGTTTTATTTGATTAAGAGGAGTGTAGATACAGAATACCAGAGGGAATAAAACAGGATAAAAATTTAACACTGAGATACAAACATAAATATTTATATGCAAAAATGTATTAAGTGGGGTTTCATATAGAAGAATGAAGTCTTCTTCCATGAGGACTGAGAGTCCTTCATGCAAACAGCATCAGCCCTTGATGCCTCAGAGATGGTGAATACTTGGTAAAGTTGATGGCTGAATCTTCAGGGGGCTACTTCAGAGCTGAAGACTAGGGACAGAGGACATCAACAGGGGAAAAGCCTGGCATTCACTGCCCGTGAGAGAAACTGCATTTTTAGGGACACTATATTCAGAAGGATCACCTTAAAATCTTACTTTTTATTTAATATAATTTCTGAAGATAACAGCAATTAGAAAGGTTTGTTCCGCAGAGAAATGAGCAAATTACTGGTGGCATGAAGGGACAGCTCACAGGGATTTTGAGAACTCAATTTAACTTCCCTTTTTTTTTTTTGCGATTCTCTTCACCCGAGCCATCTGGCGCAGAATAGCTTTTGGCACACAGGTCAAAGCTAGGGCTTTCCTAGCGGACTGGTTCCACTAGGAGAACCCTAGCTGGGCTGGCTTTCTTCACACTCACAGTGCTTATTTTAGTGCAAAATCCATCCCACGCTGTTTTTATCTGCATGCCACAGCCCTGCCTGTCATGCATTATGCACAACACTCAGCAATTGTCTGCTCTAACCACAGTCCCTAACCACAGCGTGTTGCTCACAATAAGCCTAGCACACACCCTTCACCTTTGTGCAGCCTACACTACAAACACACCCCACCTCCTGTTATTTTGCTTTGCTTGCTGGCTGCCAGTCTACCTACTCCTTGTGCAACAGCTCAAGAAATCATGACAGCATCTCAGGCCTCTCCTGAGCCTGCTGGAGCCAGATAAGCCAACTCTCGATATTACATCTCAATATCTTGCAAGAGCTTCTAGACTTACATTAAATACATTTTTTTTTAATAACTTTATAACTTACAAGGTTTTGCATCTTGAAGACTAACTTTCCCACCATGTTATGGTCTGTATTTGGAACAAGCAGCAGATAATCAAAAGCTCTCTGCATGCCAGATGCCTGTCTCAGAGTTAGCACCTGCCATTCAGCAGGAACTGGCATTCTGGGCAGCCATGCATATTCAGGAGACATCTAGTACAGATGAGCTTCAGCAAATCCAAGGGTCTGTTTTCAGTCAAGATCTTCAAAGCCACTCTCCACAGCTTATATCCCTACATAATCTTCAGCAACACTGAAAATATTGATAACTCTTGCCCGGTACAGACTCCCCCCATTGCTGGGAACAAAAGACAGGATTCACATTCACACAGGATATGTCTATGCAGTTCTTACAACTACACTGAACAGAAAAAATATCAGTCATTGTCAACTCTCTGTTCTTCCAGAGTGGGTAGCTGGCACTCTCTCCTCCACTGCAGAGCCTCAGCTTCAGTAAAGCTGGAGAACTTGTGTTTATTTCAGGCATGCTGCTTTTTCACCTTGGATGAAATGTCCGTACCCAGCCAACCTGCACATGTGCTGTGTTGCGATGGACTGTGCACTCAGCTTGTTGACCTCATGGACTGCCAGTATTCATGGAATGTCAATTTTCCAGATTCTATAAGAATCCTTATGGCTGGATACATCCCACACCATCTCTGTATGCTGTATTCAATGTGGAATAGCCTGGTAAAATGATGTCTTTCAGTCTGTCTATGTCTATCTTAGCAATGCTGCTGCCTCTACGCAATTCTGAGCCCTGGAATTGTAGGCAAATATGTGCTAGCAACAACGCAGCCTCACAAGCACCACCTGGGTCTGTAGGGTAGGAAAGGCATTACTTTAATGAATGTTCATTCCAACCAGTGCTTATAGGGCATAATTGTTCTGTTCATGCATATCCAAAAAAAAAGGTACTAATTTATTTCCTTCCTCTGCACCTCCTCAAGAAGACAAATGCAAGTTTCCTCTCTATACAAAAAGGCAAAAAAAAAAAAAAAAATCAATCCTCCCACTTCCTTTTCCCACCTCCTTCCAAACTCATGAAAATCACCAGTTTTATCTCTTCTCTCCACCAACCTACTCTCCATCTTCTTAGACTTTGTAAGATTAGCTCCTCCCCTGCCTCTGAGGAGTTGGAATGCTCTTTTTGAAGGCCAGTGATCAGGCCTCTATCTTGAAAAGCTCACACAAAAACAAAACCCAAACTCTTTGGGGCAGATCAACTGTCTGCCCCAGACAGTTGATGGAGGCAGCCCACATTCCCTGCTGTCCCTCTCCAGGAGGCCAGCCATGGAGATGAGATGAAAGAGGAAAACACCTGCCTTTGAACACCTCGCTCAAAATGGATAGCAAGCAGAAAACTTTAAATAAAAACATGTTGTACAATACATGTATATCTAAGTACTTCTTACAAGTAGAAGAGTTCATCATAATTAACCCCCTTTTTAAATAAACCCAGGTGCTTATGTGTTAAGTCTCCGTCTAGTGTTGCTATGCAGAGACCACTTCAGAAAAGGACTGGATTTGGCCACCATGGATAAGGGATGCTCAGGCTGAAAGTTGCTTGGGCTAGTTCTGTTGCCTGATGGGTTGACAGAATCCACGTGGCTCATCTTTGAGTGGGGTTTAACAGGGTGAAAGTCACTGTTAAAAGGAGAAGGTGCCAAAACAGGTTTTGAAGAAACTCCATCATATATGATCAGCAGCCAAAGGCACCAGCAGTGCAGAAGTGTGTGCTCTATAGACACTCAAATTTCTTACACCAGGAATGAGAGGACATCACTACTGCTTGGCTTGAAGACAGAAATACAGCTGGGGTGGAAAAAAACTCTCTCATGCTAGGTGAGGATTCAAACCAAGTTTTTATTACAATGGCATATAATTTCCTGTTTTGAAGAAAAGAAATTTTCACATTTCCTTCAAGAGAGGAAGGAATTCACTGGAGTGACAAAATATGTTGTCCAGATCTTAAAAAACGCAATTAAAATAAAAAAATCAAAGAGAAATGTTGTGATTTCTAAAAATCATGAAAATAAGAATACTCTTTTTAAAATTGGTCTCTTTGAGAGAGCATACTCTTTTTTCAGTAATAATTAGAATGGTAAAGCTTTTGAATTTTGAATACTAAAACACTCTTTTGACCTTTAATTGAAAAGTTGCTACAATTTATAATTTTGTAAGTAAAAAAGCAAAGTTCCTTCCATCCTTAGGAATGCTATTGCTCTGTATTATTCTTTATAAAATAAACTATTTGAAATTAATTGTATCAGCGGAACATACTACATTGTTGTTTTAACATTTGTGAAAGCAAAATAAATTGATTTCCTTAAAATCTGGGATAGCTTAGCTCACTGGAAGGACAATGAGAAATTGTGCTTGTAACTGCCGCTGTTTTGGAAGGCCTGCTGAATCCAGTGATAGTGATGTACTGCTTGGAATGAACACAAATTAGATCACAACATACATCACAGGGGCCCGTTATCTGCATGGCCAAGTGCTACTTTTATGCCCTCCAAAAGCATTTGCTTGTCAGATAATCTTGTCACGTCTTTGTCACAACCCTGGCATTTATAAAGTTCAGAATTAGACTTTTATTTTCTGTCAAAGATGAAACTAGGAAGACTCTCTTCAGATGCTGGTTTCTTGTCTGCTTCATATCAGACAGGAATACCCTTTTTTGTCAGTTCAATAGATCACAATTCTTCACCCACCTGAAGAGGAAGTGAGGAAAGGAAAGAGAGGGCGAGGGAACTTTCCTCCACACCTGTAAGTTTCTGTGGCTTCTTCTGAGCTGAAAGCATTTTAAATGTCAGATGTTAATCAGAAACTCTAGGCTGCTTAGTAGCATCTGTGCCTCCTGGTTCTACCAAGTTGATCTTCCAGGTTCAGTTGATCTTCTATGTCCTCCAGGGGCTCATATACCCTGTAACAGGGCAAACCATCCATGTTTGCCCATTGGGACATTAGATTTAATAATATCTGCATGATATACATCCATGCAACATACGTGCACGTGTACAAACTGTATCCCCATGCACAGACAGATAGAGCAATGATCGCATCTGACCTTCCAACATGTCACCTTTCATGGGGCTGATAAAGCACCCTTGTGAGCTACGTCCTGACCCAAAGGTTTATTATAAGATCAGAGCCGTAGTTTAAACCAGGTATCAGTCCTGACATAAGCAAGAATACTCATACTTTCAGTTCAGTGAATGTGACAGAGTGTTCTTAAAGGCAGTATTCCCATTTCTTTCTCTAGTCCTTTCATTTCTAGAGAACCAAAAGCACCATCCAATGAACACAGAAGGAGATGAGAAGTCAGCTTGAAGTTCTATTTCGGCTCTAAAATCAAAGGTCTCTTTAAAGCCTATTAGAATTATTGACTCAAGTCTACCGTTAATAGCACGCATGGTGCCAGTGTAATAAGAAATGGAACTACATTGCCCAAGAATGATTTATGAAGTCCAGTAATTCATGTCAGAGTTTCCACAACATTGTGATTCTCAAAAAATCTCAGGTCCAACTAACAGTGATCAGTTAGACATTGATCCTTTAATGAATGTGTGCACTTTACTGATTTTATTTTGGCAAAGTTACAAGTATGGAAGCAAAAGAGAAAGAGAAAGAAAAAGTGCCGTAAAATATTCACCAATATTTCTAATCTGCTTTGTATGTGGTGTTTTTAAGATATTAATTTCATCTTTCCATCCTCTGGGATGAATGACTATGGAGCATGTAAATTTCTGAAAAAATGCACAATTTTTAATATTGATCTCAGCAGATTATATAAAAAAAAGATACGAAGAAGCAAATATCAGATTTAAGGATCATTTTAATAACAGGCTTTATTTCAGATCCATAATATACATAATCTTTAAAAATAATGCATGAAAAATATTAGCCTATTTTTGACCATTTGTGTCTCTGTAGTGCTATTCCAAGTGAGCTTACTGATTTTTTTTTTAACAGTCTACATTTAGTTTTAATGGTTCAGCTCTTCTTCAGTCATCAATAGGGAGCCTTGTTACCATGGTGACAGACAGATGGATTAATGCAATGTTTAGGAAGACACAGTAGTGCCAAATTTTGATATATATGGTAAGCTGTAATGTACTGCATACACAAGAGGGCATGCATGCAGAAAAATTCTGGAGTGGGCTTCCATATGCATGGAGTGTCTTGACACAATATTCCCGCTATCTTCTGCCAGAAAGTGGCCATCTATTCACACTTTATGCTCTTGAAAAATACCGACCCTGTTGGAGTCACAGACTTCAGTTGCTCTGGAAACTTAAACTGAATGTGTGATGAGGCCTGTTGGAAGGGGCCGTGTTCAACACCTGACATGTTGGCTGCATGTACTAGGCCATGAAGCTGCCGGTCATTGGGGAGTGACTGTCTGTAATCCACTCTATAATCCACTCCTTGAAATGCAGCCTGACATCTTCAGCTGACACCTTTCCATTTGCCTGTTTACTTTATTCACGGCAGGTCTCGTTAATGAGAAATGCAAGATATACAAAAATCTTTGGGTTTTTACAGAGCACAAACAGATTGCATGTGGAGTAATCCTTAAAACTGTCACACTTCCTTTACTTTTAAACCTCACCCATCTCACTCCCTTCCCTAGAGCTGCTAATGAGCTTTCCTGTTTTCAAAGTATTAGATTAGTGGTTCATGTCTCGCAAACACCCTCAGACGGAGATGAAATTAATACAGGAAGAAAATGTGTGACAGTCATGATATGAATTCCTGTCATTCAGACTGTGAATCCCCCATGCTCATAGAACTGGGAAATCATGCTAGTTGCATAGTTTTATTTTATTATATTTTACTTTATTTGCTGTCCAACCCTTGAATCATTCTGTCATTGCCAAACATCTTCAATGCAGAAACCTATCATAAGATGTTACTGAGAAGTCAAATAATTTTAAAAGACAAATTGACCTGCCAAGTAAAACTCTGGCACAAACTTGGTGCTCTTAAAAATATTTTAGATGTGAATTCAGAAGTGCTTTATCCAGAGCACAATATTAATTTATGTAACAAGACTAATTCAATATGAAACGTTTTCCATCCATCTACAAAAAGTGATAATTATAATTAATCAGGAACCTAGCCTAATATCAGCTCTCCTTACAGGCCTTTTTAGATTGCAATATTAAACTATACCAATTAAGCTCTGTGCATGACTGTGAAAAGGGCCTTTGGATATAATTGCACTGAAGCCAATTAGGAAAAATATACGTCTCGTATTGCTGACAATTAAGTCTACAGTTGGCTTTCTCAGCAGGTGATGTACTACTAGCATACACAAGTCAAATTTATAGTGGCCACCTCCCCACAATAAATTAAATGCCAGTCCAATTTCTTCTTCTGCAGCACACACCACTGTTGAAGGCCTCCAAACTGGTGTCACTGGCCATATGAGCATGGCCAGTGGCACGGGGTGGGCACAGCAGTGTTCCCACAGGTACCTGCATGCAGCAGCTTCTGAGGGACCCTCTGCTGCCCAGTAGTGCATGCCAGCAGCACATCCCTCCCACCCTGCAGCCATCATGGTGTGGGATCTTACATCAGAGCCAAGATTGAAGTTACCCTTGCCCATGAACATATTTGTGCAGGAGTCAAACCACGTCTTGGTGCAACCTTCTTCCCAAAGCAGGGTCAAACAGTGTGCTCAGAGCAGCTCACTCATGGCTTTATCCTCATGAAATCTTCCTTGAAAAGAAATTCTACTATTTCTTCAGGCAGTCTGATCTCAGCCTGACTGTCTTTGTGGGAACCTCTTTGTGTTACCAAAAAAGTAATCTCCTAGAGACACAGCTGGTAACACACAGGATGGACAACTCTTATCTATTGGCCTGTCACTGAGAGAGGCCTTCTTTGTCTTGGCAACCATAATTTTGGAAGTTTCCAGATCTGGCCACACAGGCCAGGAGCAGATTTTCTCTGTAGAAATCCTGTTCCCAGGCTGTCACCCAGCAGAACCTGGTCAGATGGTCTGGTGGTTCAGGATTCCTGCTGCTACCTCAGGTTACAGCATTCCAGTAAGAGTGGTTGAGACACAAGTACCAGGCCATGCTCTAGTGACACCATGGAAATAATAATTAATTTTTGTTGTTTCTTTTTTTTTTTCATTCAGTCAGAAATACTTTTTTTTCCTGGACAATAGTAGGAGTTTTTCTAACATGGTACAGCAAAGTAACTATTAAAAGTTCTATGATGAAACACATACTAAGACCACTAAAGACATGGTATCCAGTGAAATTAAAAAGTAACGTGTAAATATATTTGCTAGGTCACTAAAGACAGTAGGAATACCACAGGAACTGGGAAGGGATCTGTGATTTTCCTCTCTAGTAAATGCGGGCAAAGCCAAACAGATATAGGCGTATTTCACTTGCCAAGAGAGAGTATTATAAACTCCGAGCAGGTAATAAAACATATAATTTATTAAAGGATAAGAACAGAAAACAAGTAGATACAGGCATATGAAAGAAGACCCTCCTTAAATGTTCTCATCTCTGCAGCCCCACCTGAATTCTGTCCAAGGCATGTGACAGCCCCGATATGTTTTCAACAGCTCTGAAATCTGTAGTGCGCCTCTGGCCAGCCACAATGTCATCATCCCCAGATGCTAATTTGGGATTTATAACTGGAACTCTGGCCAGATTGCCAATGGCACTTTTGACATTTACTGAAACGTGGCCAGGCTGTGGCCATAACAAACAATGCTGCTGTGGTGTCTCTGCAGCATGCCTGCACACCCAGTCTTGTCCTAAGTTATGCCTCACACGCACTCCTGAATACCCAAATGTAGAAGTCAAATTAAGGAAGAGTGTTGCATATTCTGTAGAAGCAAGCTGCAGTTTAGAAAAGCATCTCTGGGGCTGGGGTAGGTGGCTGGAAATCTGGAGATCCAGCCTCTCAGCTCCTGCCTTTGCTGGAGAACCACAGCAAAACTTTGCGCAAAATAAATAATCTTCTCATCACCTCCAAAGCAAAAAGTACCTCTCCACAAGTGAGTGAAGCCAGCCCAAGCAGTTTTTTTCATGTGTTTTTTGATTCTCTTCTTTTGAGTGCAAGGCTCTTCTTACATCTGTGAGTACATTTGACAAATGAGCACTGCCTTTATGAGCACTGTCAGTATTTCTGTAATTAAAGTCTACACATCTCTATTCAGTGACCAGATTTTTGCTGCAGTGAGACGAGATCTGAGGACAGACTCTCAGCATGGGAATTTCAGCCACCAGATCCTTAGGAGATGCACAGCAGTAACCAGCTCATTATAAAAACAGAGATTTCTGCAGAAACCAAATCAGAGGTGCAGAACACTTTAATTTCTTGTCCAATCGACTAGAAAATTGTTTGGAAATATGTAACTGGTTTCTTCATGCCCCTGCCTGTACACAGTGCTGATCCTGCATGGTGCTTTCAGGAATATCAAAGCTGCCATAAATAGAGGAAATTACCCCAGTGAGTCAGGCAGAGAATAAAGCTCAGCTCTTCTGAGAGCCAAAAGGCAGCTCAACTGCTGCATTTTTCTCTCTTTCCAAAACCAGTGTTTGGCTTTTTCCCGAGTTCTTTTACACAATCCAGTTCAGTTACTGAACACATTAGTTTAACCAGTTATTCAAATCAATCTCCTCTGTGTTTTGAATTGGATTTTCAAACTCCAAACAGGATTCTGTTTCTCAGGTGCCAACATTTTTTGCAGTGGCACTCAAGACTTTTGACTATATAAATCAGGCAGATAACTTAGTGATCACAACAAATTACTGCCTTCGTTAAGCCCCAGCCAGCTCATCAACTAACTTCTTTGCCTCTGAATACCTACATTTTAAGCTTGGTCCTCAAGTGGATCTTGAGGACTTGGAGATGGCCAAGTACCACTGTGCAGACGTGCACTAGAGAGGAAGAAGAGCAGCAGACCCACAGGCCAGGACTGAAATATCTCACAGCATTATGTTAAGAAGTTGGCACACTGGGGTTCTATTTCTTGATAGAGCTCCTTATTGGCAGCAATGCCACGTGTTTGCAAGGGTTATAAAAATCTCTTAGGGAATATATTTATGCTAACTTGTTTCTTTGGTTTTATTTTAAAATTTATTTTTTTCCTTGTGTTCTTGCTTACCCTCCACACTCCTCCCTCACCGATACTGTACAAAAATATGAACTCCCATAGGAGAGGCACCAAGTTACAAATTTTTTGTTAAAACCCAGGGGTTGTTAGGAAATTCCTAACTATAACATCAGAATCATAAGTGGAGGTTTACCCATCCTTTGAAGTGGAACACATTGGTTCCCTCTCATTGTCTGCTTTTGGCTTACTAAGTTTTTTGCGATAAAAAGGAAAAAAAAGCATTATATTATATTCAATTATACAACAAGAAGAAATTAATATTGTAACCTAAATGAACACAATTCTGCTGAGTATATCTTGGATTTTTTTTAAAGCAAGTAAAATTTACAACACTAAGAATTTTAAGTTATTCAGAGTGTATTTCATGGTCTTTATGCTTTACTTTCAGTCTCTCTTAAATATAGATTACTGGCATTGTTCAAACCAGGATTAAATAACACCATTATACCTTTCTCTTCTCTTTCTTCTGCGTTCTGGAAAAATGTGAAAGAAAGTGATGTCTTGATTGATGTAAACTCAAAAAACTATCCTGAGAAGAAAATATAGGATTGTTATCATCAAAGACACAAAATAATACAACAGACACAATAACTTAATTCCCTCACAGTTCAAGGATTCCTCTATCAGATGCAGTGATGATCTTGAATCTTGACACCAATTACAATCAAAATGACATGCATGCTCCAGTTTTAGTTTCATGCATTCTAATAAATTTAAGTACTTTATATAAAAAGTAATTTCTTCTTTTCACATTGTCACACTGCAGTTTTTCTAAGATGTCCTTCTCTAAGCTTTTCCAGGAGATTTTTTTTTATTACTTGTGGCAAAGTCCAATTCTATTCCAAAGCACACGTGGGATTTTGGGGCATTTTTTCATGGGAAAAAGAAGACAAGAGGAGAGGAGGAGTCATCTGCCTGACATCCAAATTAGAAAAAAAGAGTTAGTGATGGGCTCTCTGTGTAAAGTATTGTTAATTTATACAGCACATGGACTATTAGGAAACAGCTTTGAATAGGTTTTTAGAAGTATCATGAACAGGAAGTTTCCCAAAATACTGATTTTTTGCCTAGCAACCCAGTCCCTATAATTAGACCCTTAGTTACATGCTATAAAATATGTTAAAAGATAGAAAGAAGGAAGCTGGGGAAGAAACACTTTTATTTACATTCATTGTTTGCTGTTGAAGTACTGATTATTACAACTAAAAATACACTTTACCTGTCTATACTGAATCTTAACTTAGTACAATGTTTGATAAAGTGATGAAATTAGGTACCACATCAATTCATAATCATCATGGAATTAGGGTGGCGCAGAGATGAAAAAACCCTAATTGTATGTTCTTGTAGTGTGAAAAACTATTTACATAACTTAAAAGAAGGACAATTTGGAACGAAAATACATACTTTAAAGCAACACTCTTCATCAAGATACAGCTTACTAAAATTCCTGGGAATTAAGAGTGTCTTGCAGTTTTATTTGCTGAAGTCCACTACGCGATATGTCCCAAGGACATTTTAAAAACAAACAAACAAACAAAAAACCAAGCCAAAACCCTTATGAGCCTGCTAAAAAAGACTCGATTTAAAAAAGGCTTTGACAACTTTTCCCGATTTTCCCTCTGCGCGGTTTGGGCTGTCGGGACGCTGAACGCCTCCTAAGGGCGATGCCGCTGGATGCCGCCCGCCTGCGCGGCCGCGGAAGGGAAGGAGGAGGAAAGGCGGCTGCGTGTGCCAGCCCAGCTCGCTTTCCTTCCGGGTTGTGAGTACCTTTCCTCCTCCTCCTCCTCCTGCTCCTCTTGCGTGCCCTGGGCCATGGGGGCGGCTGCCGGCGGGGCCGCCCCTGACGGGGCCGTGGCCGCAGCGCCGCTGGAGCCCGGGCGCGGGCTGTCCCTGCCCCGGGGGGCTGGGAGCTCTGCGGCATCCCAGGACAAGCTCTTCTTAATCAAAGGTGCAGACAGCCTTCCTTCCTCTCCTCTCCTCCCTTGCACGGGTCAGGGACGAGCAGCAGCAGCGTGTGCGGCAGGCCCGAGACTTTCCCCAGCCGTGCTCCCCTTGCCGTAGCCCCAGGTCTCGTCCCTCTCTCCTGGGGAGAAGGCGAGACGTTTGGGAATGGCCTCGCTGAGGTTTCTGGACACAGCAAGGAAGCCCCTGCAGCGCCGGCCACCTTTTCCCTCGCCTTTGGCAGCGGCGGCGGCGGTCACCCTTCGGCAGCGGGCCCGGGCAGCCGGGCGGGACGGGCGCGGCGCGGAGCCGCCTCCTGCCCGCGAGAGAGCACAGCGCTGAGGGGCCTGCGCCGGGCATTGCCGGGCCCGCGGGGACAGGAGCCTCGGCAAGAGGCGGCTCCTGCGGGCTCCCCGCAGCGCTGCGGATTCCCTAAGGGAAGGAGCCGGCGTCCCGGGCTGGATCCGAGCCGGGAGAACCGCGGCCAGGGCAGAGCCGGTCTCCACAGCCGCACACACCTGCAGGGCAGCGGGCGCAAGGCGGGTTGGCGGCGCTGTGTCGCTTTATGTTTATATAATACTGTGATTTGTATCCCTAACTCCGGGCTGCTCCCGGTGTCTGCTCGCTCTCCCCGCGCCCCCCGGCGGAGCGGAGGCCGGGGCTCGGGCGGCCCCGTCCCAGCGCCGCCGGCCGGGACATCCCGGGCAGCCCCGTCCGGAGGATGCACGTACCGCCGCTATTAATAATTACTGTGTCTGAAACTGCGGAAGTGTTGGTTACAGACCTGGAAATGTAAAACTTAGTGGGCTACATAATTCGGCCATGGTGCGAAGTCTTATTGCTCCCGGGCAGAGGAGGTACCTTACAGATTTTGCTGACAAGAGTACAGGAAACTTCCTCATCGCACTAATCAGATCAATAACTTTCTAAAAAGTGAGACCTAACTTAACTGTATTTTTGCTTACTTCCTGTTCAGACCTTTTTAAAATTACCTAACTGGTGTTAGGAAAGGGGAAACGGGCTGCCTATCAATACCTGCAAAGGAAGAACATGTAAACCCCTGGAATTTTGAAATTTTAATATGGATCAGGTTGGTTTCTACAGTGCAGTTAAGTCTTAATAACGAGCCTTTTTCTTAAAAGTGGGCAGGTATGGCTAATGTGCCTTTGGTGCAAGAGCTAGAAAGGATCAAGGTACCTCAAGTGACCTTGGAAACACTGAAAAGACTGAAAAGCAAGGGATGCTTTCTTTCTTGGGATAGCTTTTACTAGTGTAATTTTCTTTCCTTTTTTAATGAAAAGAATTCAGGGGTTTTTTTGGTTTTTTTTTTAATTTTAAATAGAGCATTAAAACATAAAGCTGGAGAACAAGTGTTGCTTATGTAATGGTGTTCAGAGGAATTGGTAGTTGCCATTTGAAATCACAAGTGGTGCAACAAAACCAATTACATTTCCCATTTAGGGAAAGGTGAGACATCGCCATAGAACAAGATGATTCTAGTAGGCTGACTGTGGAATGAGTGGAATGTCAAAGTACTGCAAAAAAAGCATCCTGGGATTTGAATTTTTGTGTGTGGCTTGAAAATACATACACATGCCATTATTTTCAAAATTACCTGTTTCATAGAACTATTCTTTGTTTTGCTATTTTGTCATACTGAGTTAGCATAAAAAATATAGACAACTGTGCCTTTCCCTTTTGCATGTGCTAACAGATCTTATATTTTCAGGTTTTATTTTCTAAATAGGTAGGTTGGTTTTTTTCTTCCCCTTAAGTAACAAAGTCTTGATTTTTATTTCTTCAATTTTTCTTGGCAGGTGGAATTTTTCTAGGTACTGTTGCTACAGCAGGAATGATAGCAGGTTTTGGCACTACACTTGCAATGACAAAAAAGAAGAACCCAGACTGGTTTAGTAAGGTTTGTTCTTTTAAGCCATTTTCCAATAGCCATATGCAGGAAATAAGAATGCGTTGAATGCTTTATAGATATGCTGATATACGTGGAGCTTGGCAGAGTTGATGATAAGAGCACTAGATTTAATTGAATTCAATACAGGTGTAGGATTAATTTAAAAATTGGTTCAGAGTTGTATACTCTGAATACTTTAGTACTTGAGATTAGCTGAAATACATCATGCTTATGCTGTTTGCTGGAATCATACTTCTGGTTAGTGAAATACAGTTACTGATGTCTTTTAGTTCTGTGATGTGAGCGCACTTCAGACATGAGCCTGGATCACCTCAGGGATCCAGTTCACCGTGCTGTCTCAGTGCTGCAGTGAGTCTCAAAGCTAGGTGACTGCAGTAAGGATGGGAATGAGGAGGTAAAAGGCTGCAAGCTGTGGAATATGTAAGTGGAATCATTTAGTCAAAATTAAAGCTCTCCACTCCCATCCCACTTTGTAAGGGGAAGGATGAGAATGAGTACTAGGGGACTGTGAAACCTGATGGCCAGAATGAATCTGAGCTCATGCAATTACTGACTGGATCCACCTGTGCACTGTTGAAGAAAAGAACTGCAAAGCAGAGCTAGCAATTATACTGTGTTGGTGTATTAGTTTGAAACACAGCACGTTTAATTGAAGGATGCTTTTTTCCTCACTAATGCTTTGTGATTGCCAAAAGCATAAAAAATAGATCCTTAAAATAGATCCATCTCATCTCCACCAAGCTCTTAAAATGCAACATATATTACAGATGTTCTTAGGGATTTAAGAACTGATCAATTTTGTTTATTTAAAAAATGATGATTCAGTAACATATCAGTGTTACTGTTAATTCAATGCATATCAAGAGAAAAAATTCTTCCATTGTACTTTATATCAGATCCTTCATTTCTGAACTCTCATAATCTCTCTTTCTGGTCAAAGAGCATGAGATCCTTCATTTGCTTTCCTACTTTCCTCATAACTTATCCATTGCCTTTACAGAAACAATAAGAATAAGTTTCTTTTTTGAAATAGACAAAATAGAAAACTTCATGAGAAGTTATTTCACAGGCTGTGGAAATACATTGCAATAAGGAAATTGTCTGCTTTTTTACCATCTTTTTTTTTTTAACTTCCTTTCTCTTGAGCACTGCATTTTTTACAGCTTGCATATATTCCTGGGTGTCTGAGCTGTCCTGGTATCAGTGTGAAATTTATCAAGAGTGACATTGCATTGACATCTGAGAATATATATGTTAGAAATGTCATCAAGTGATATATATAATTTCGATCTTTACTGAAAACTGTATCTGCTGCTATTTGTGCAAAAGAATTACAACAGTTTGCTAGCAAAAATCTGATTTCATGGGCCCCTCAACTTCAATACTCCAGAGTGTAGAAAGATACTTTTTTTTTAAGGTACTTGTCAGTGAGCAGTTTAAAAAATGAAAGACTAGACTTTGAGAATGGCTTAACTCTCTACAGAAGCTCTGCAAGGTACCAATGAGGTTTTGCATTAGCATTCTTAAATTTGTAGTTAGTTACTGCAAGTAACTCTTAATAATACATCATGTATAATTAACTATAGGAGATTTCACCTTTTTTAGATGTTCAATGCCAAATATTATTTTTATCCATGTTAAGGTGAGACCATATTTTGACAGGTACTTTAAGCCAACATCAGCCAGCACTGGTGTTGAAAGAATTAATTCTACCAAGCCTTCAGTTTTCTGGCATTTTATTCCTGTTCCAGTGAAGCCACTAATACATATGTTATTGGGTTGGTGATATGCTCCTGGTTAATTGATGGGTTTTTTTGATTAAACTTATATGCTCAGCTGCAGCAGCCTCCTTTTGAGAAGTGTCCAGTTTTACCAGCAATTATCCACGTGTTTAATTTCACAGTGGATTAGGTCACACAAAAGAGTGAACACACTCAATACAATCAACCAAAACAGTTGAACACACTTTATTTTAGGCACTGCTTCCTTTTAGACATGCTCTGCACACAAAAGGGGCAGTTACACAATCAAGGCCTGTGTCTGAACAAAAAAAGCAATGATTTTTTTTTCCTTCTCCCACTTCCTGTTTATATCTTCCAGAGGAAAACAAAACAACAACAATCAACTAAAGGAAAAAACCAGCATATATTTGGAAAACAAACCCGTTAATTCTGGAAACACTCAATATTGTTTAAAAGCTCATTTTTTAAATTAAAGATTTTTTTTTTTCAAAAATACATAAGAGTAGTGATGAGAAAATAATTTGAACATTGAATAACAAGTTAGCGAATAAAATTCAATTCTCTTAAAAATTTTTTTGTTGGTGTCATGTTTTTCTTCCATGTCCTTTTTAAATTTTTTAGCATTTCATTAATCAGCTTTCTTGATGCTCTGAACACTGTATCTGATAATCATTTAACCAACTGTCCTGTTTTCAGAAACCCTTATCTGTCTGCTTAAGTACCTTGAGGAATCAGCCTGTGACTGAACCCTGTTTGACTGCAGTCAGTAAAACCAGATCAGTTGTTTCCACTTAACATTATTTTTTTGGGACAATCAAGCATTTAAATAGTAGTTGGTTGGGTTTTTTCCCAGCAATTTTCACAGATAATGACTCCTATTTAAAGATTCTGTGTAGAGGATATTTTTGTCCATTCATTTCCCATCTTCCAAATGGGACCATTTTTTCTCAGTGTTGTTATACATGGTTAGACTATGGAAGCAGGAAAAATGTCAAAAGTAATCAGCATTTCAATACTCAGAGCAGTCTCTACTGAAAGAGTTATAATAGTTCATTATCTGTGGTAAGGAGATAATAGGACCTGATATTATAGTGTGACTAGAGATCTCTGCTGTTTGTGTGTGTTTGCTTACAGTGTTGTTTTTGTTAACAGCTTCCACTTTGGGATGTCCAAATTGGAATAAATAAGGATCAAGATACATTTTGCTTGTGACCTTTCCTAGTGCATATTTGTCCTTGGGTAGCTGAGCCTACAGCTGAATCCCAAGGGAGAGTGTCAATACTGAGGACTGTCTAAGGATCATTTTAACATTTCAATAAATACAAAGCCAAGAGGAGAAAAACTACTTGTGCTGTTTGACTGACCATAGTGGTAGACATTAAGTATGTTTGGAAGAAAGTATTTTAAAAGAAGTTAAAAATATAAAGCAAGAATACAAAATATTTTTCCCCCACATTTAGTGATGAGAAGAAAAACCCACCAGTTATTTGGCATGTTTTGGAGAAAAGTATTTTTGATCCTTCCACAAGGATTAATTTAGCTTTTCAGTATTTTAGACTATAAATGAAATAATTTTTTGTAATTTTATGTGCAATCTCATTTATGTTACCCCTGAGCAATATTTAGTTGTTTTTTTTCCAAGATACCCAGTTAAGTAGAACTGTTGAGTTGTGTAAGGACTGTAAATGCCAGTCTATAACAATTAGCATCTGAAATCTGTGTTTGCATGTGAACAACTGAACAGTGATCCTTTGGAGGGGAAAAAAATCCTCTGAATGGCAGTTGCCACTGTGAGCAAAAGAATTCTGTCTGTGTCACTGCCGCTGTGGCTGCAGTGAAGTTTTGCTGTACCAAATAGGTGCAGTACCATGGGCATTGTGAGCCGAGAATGGATGGCTAGCAGGGAGCGTGGGGTGCACATGGATTGATACCACTCAGCAGGTGCCTGGTGCCCCTGGAAGCTGCAATGTCCATTAATGTGCTGTGGCAGAGGGGTTTCCTTATGGTTGGGACCCCATCATAGCCAAGGCTGCATTCTTGGCCTGAGGTGGCTTTTCCAAGTGATAGCATTTTCAAGGTACTTGTGTTTTCAGGACATGTCTCATGGCAAACTTCTGTGGCAGCAGCATGTTAAAACCACCTACTCTTGTAGGTGTTTTCTAGCAAAATTGAGAAGTGTGGAGACCACACAGCATTTTCAGTGTTGTTGCTTGGTGAACTCTGCAGGCGAATGAGTTCAGTGTTGTTTGCTTTTACAGAATTTTCCCTAATAGCTTCCAGAGCTTCTTCAGAGTTGTAGCCCTCTTAAATTAGTCCCTGGGTCACTGTAATCTTTCCGTGTCCAGATGAAATCTGCTTGTGTTCTTGCAGGTTCCAGAATTGCAGATGAAGACCTATAGTCTATCAGTTGCCCCCCATGAAAAAGGACCAAAATCAATGACATGCAGTGATTATGTTCTGGCCTAAAGGCTTGTGACTGGTTTAGATTCAGTTTTGTATTTTTGACTGGTGATATAACTGATTGTTGGATTCTTGTGCCCATGGAACAACTGACTCTGGTATTTCTGGGCAGTGAAAGTCATCCCCAGGTGGCACTGGCAACTATGAAATCTGTTCCTGGTAGGAAGGCACTTAGTCGAGCGCCTCTATTGGCTCTTGAGGTATATTGGCAGCCATAAGATTTTCTGTGGCCACACTAGTGCAGGTCAGGAAAAAATCTAAATCACCAACTTTCTTAGGGTTTTTTTCCCAATTATTGTTTACTCTGTCATAAACTTTTTACCTTTGTTTCTAGGGGATTACTGCCACAGCTGCACTACCAGAGAGTGGTTCATCACTGGCCTTACGAGCCCTAGGGTGGGGCTCACTCTATGCATGGTGCGGAGTTGGATTGCTGAGTTTTGCCATCTGGAAGGCTCTGGGCGTGCACAGTGTGAGTAGCAAGTATGATCCCTCTCAAATTTTTCCTTGGGTAATGCATCTTGGGATGGCATCTCTATACTACTTCGCCCTAAGAATTGCACCTTCATTCACCGCATGTAGAATGACTAACCAGAATGTGTGCAAACAGGGAAGGTGTTCTTACATCTGAAAAAAATGGCATGCTGTGGGAGGAGACAGTTTAGGGGGAAGGAACAGTTTTGTTCTCCTTTCTGTTTATTTGCACAGATGTTTTAGATACCTCACAAAAGAGACAGTGCTCTAATTTAGAGACTAAAATAGTAGCTGCTAACTTTGCTTATCGAACTGAAGGCTACATGCCCGAATCCTGCTTTTAGAGCAATAGTTATTTGTTCAAGTTCTATTTTTTGCATCAGGACACAGAGGATGTAAGAAAAACTGAAAGGAAGCCAGCTTGCTTTCTAGAAGCGGAAAGGGGACAGAAGACTGAGTATGCTGTGCATTAGAATGGTGGTCCTTGACATGTCATGTCAAGGCAAAGAAGCTTGGGAAGTATTTGCACATCCCAGGATACCAACTACGACAATCTTCAGTAAATTGATAATATTTCAGTATTTCACAGTGTTGAGTGTGAACACTAAATTTCATGTGAGCATTTTTGTTTGCCCCTAGTAATGAGCTATGACTTAAAGAGTCCTAATCAGCTCTGAGTTTGGGAGAGCTGTTTGCATCCTCTTTAGGACTAGGAATGAATATCTTCACCTTATGTGGCAATTATTTATATATTCAGCAAAGCATATATAAAGCAGAAAGATGGTACTACTATTGCTTCTCAGTATTAATTGTGAAGAATAGTAAAATTCTGATTGTAAGCAGTTGCAGGTGTTTCATTTAGCAAACAAAAAGGATGCTTCATTTGCATGTAGGAGCACCTCCGTTCCAGCACTGTCTCAAATCCTTTGCCAGCTCACTCCCTGTGACTCTCTAGGTGGGATCTTGGTGAATAAAGGACTTGACTTTCACTTCCATGGTTTGAAGGAGAGTTCCAAGTAAGACTGAATTAAGTGTTTAATGTCTCGAGTAATCTTAAAGTACGAGAAGCCTCAATGGAAAATGAGATACAGTGGGTTGGCAGAAGCCACACCAATAGGAGTAACAGAGTCAGCAGATCTTGACATGGGACTGGCGTGGCTGGGGAGGCCATGGGGCAGTTCCCATCTTGGCCAGCCCGCAGCACAGCGGGGCAAGGCTGGCTGGGCTGGAGGAGAAGAGCAGAACTGGTCATTGAGGTTGGAGCAGTGCAGTGCAAGATGTGCTCTGTGCTTCTTGTGCTTTGAGAGCTGCCCACGGCACACTGAAGGCAGTGGGATGTGCAATCGGTGTCACTGGGCAGCCCTGATGCTTGTGCCATGGCCGGGAATGCCTTGTGAGCCGCCTGGCCTGGCAGGAAGCAATGGCGAGCGTCTCCCACACACCTGGAGGGCAGAACTGAGCCAGGCGGGCGCTCTGCCGCCCAGTCCCGGTTGGCTTCTGGGGTCTGTGTCCTTGCCCTCTGGGGTCTGTGTCCCTGCCCTCTCGGGGTCTGTGTCCCTTGCCCTCTGGGGTCTGTGTCCTTGCCCTGTGGGGTCTGTGTCCCTGCCCTCTGGGGTCTGTGTCCTTGCCCTCTGGGGTCTGTGTCCTTGCCCTCTGGGGTCTGTGTCCTTGCCCTGTGGGGTCTGTGTCCCTGCCCTCTGGGGTCTGTGTCCTTGCCCTCTGGGGTCTGTGTCCTTGCCCTCTGGGGTCTGTGTCCTTGCCCTGTGGGGTCTGTGTCCCTGCCCTCTGGGGTCTGTGTCCTTGCCCTCTGGGGTCTGTGTCCTTGCCCTGTGGGGATCTGTGTCCCTGCCCTCTGGGGTCTGTGTCCCTTGCCCTGTGGGGTCTGTGTCCCTGCCCGCTGGGGTCTGTGTTCCTTGCCCTGTGGGGTCTGTGTCCCTTGCCCTGTGGGGTCTGTGTCCCTGCTCTCTGGGGTCTGTGTCCCTGCCCTCTGGGGGTCTGTGTCCCTTGCCCTGTGGGGTCTGTGTCCCTGCCCTCTGGGGGTCTGTGTCCCTTGCCCTCTGGGGTCTGCGTCCCTTGCCCTGTGGGGTCTGTGTCCCTTGCCCTGTGGGGTCTGTGTCCCTTGCCCTCTGGGGTCTGTGTCCCTGCCCTGTGGGGTCTGTGTCCCTGCCCTCTGGGGTCTGTGTCCCTTGCCCTCTGGGGTCTGTGTCCCTGCCCCGTTCCCCGCGGCTCCCCCGGCGCCGGGCGCGGCCGGGGCGCGGCGCTGCCCCGCAGCGACCCCCGGTGGCGGCGGCCGGAGCTGCGGCGGCCGCGCCGAGGGCTCGTGGCTTGTGCGGGACCGCGGCTGTGTCCCTGGGCCAGCCGGGCTTTGGGCGGGCCGTGCTGCACTGCCGAACCCTGAGCCCCAGCAGGGCGGCCTCACTGCCCATCGCTGCCAGCATTCTTCTGGTGGGATACGCCTTTCCTGTGAGCGTGAATTATTGATGGGCAGCGAGTCATTGATAAAGTATGTATTACCCTAAGCTTGGCGGCTGTTTAAATTATCTTGTCATCGCTTCCAAAGTCAGAGATGAAACGACAAGAGCAAAGTGGAGTGATATTTCCGTGATGAGTTGTAATTAATCTGTGTTAGTGGTGTGATTGCTCAGCAGTTTGTGTCGTGGAAGGAAACAGAAGCCACAGTTCAGGATGCCTCATCCTCACGCCTTATGAGACAGCCTGTGTTTGCCCTAGAAGCAAGCTGTTGTTAAGATTCCTTCCAGGTACTGAGGTGATGCACCAGTTTTGGTGATTCTAGATTTTTATTTAATCTTTGTGGTTCATTAGTTCTTAAAACAGTGCTGTGACAATGCCTGCTTCCAGCTCTTAAATGGCTTTATTGTTAAAGGTGGTTCCCTATAGCTTTACAGTCTGCTGCTTTTATGCCAGCATCAAAACCGAGGGGTGAGAGTAAGTAGCCGATCTTTATGTCTTGGTAAGGAATATAAAAGATTTTATGCTGTCTCAGGTTACGTTGTTAACATTCCCTGATTGCAGTTGCCACTGTTGTAATCTGGTGACAGTCTGTTAAGTAATAAATGTTACTAAATCCCACTCAACTCTTATTATGAACTGAAGAAGTGATGGTTCAATGAGGACTTAGTTTGATAATGGTTTAAGTTATATTTTTCAGTAGCATAAAAAAAATCTTTCTTTAGAACCTAGGAGATGGTGCTTATATACTTTTATATTGTAATTCTTGCAGAAAATAATCAGGTGTCAGTGATAACCAGAATTTTTAAACTTGGTTCCTGCAACCGCTTGGGAAAATATTTAAATTTGTAGCACTTTTGATTATCTCTGAGCATAGAAACTCGTTCTATATTAGTGAATATCATTGACCAGCAGCACTGGGCAGTGAAACATTAGCAGGCTGAGGACCTGATATCTACAACTATTCCAGGAATTTTCAAAATTTGGACTGACACTGGCCTTGCCCCATGGCTTGAATGCCTGTTGGCAGTTGGACTATGTTACGTGCACTGCTAGAATGCTTCTTCAGATTTGTGTCACCCAAAGAAACTGCTGGTCATGCAGTTTGAGACTGTGCAGTAGTTACACAGACTCATGCCCAGGGAGCATGGACAACTGGGAGATTTGCTTCCAAAGAGCACTCCCATCTGAATCTGGGATTCATCCAGACGTACCTGCAGCCTTCCTCTCTGAGGCATCTTACAATGTGGAAACACACGTGTCGTGTTAAAATAGCACCATTGTTTTCAACAAGTTTATTTGCTATTTAACAACTTCCACATCATGGTATTATATTCCAGTGCATTACCTTACTGGTTTTGAGCTTGCAACATCCAAACCAAACTGGGAAAAATTTTAGTGCCATAGAATCATAGAATAACTAGGGTTGGAAGGGACCACTAGAGATCATGCAGTCCAATCCCCCTGCCGAGGCAGGGTCACCTACAACAGGTGAAAATTTTCTATAAGTTTTCTATAATTTTTTAGAAGTTAACTTTGGAGTTGTAAACCTTTCTTTTAAATTACACTCGCAGCTATAGAGTACTATAGAGTAGACCTACTAATGTCTGATTTCTTTTTTCTTTCTTTTTTTTTAAGCTGCCAGCAATTATGAACCTTCTTTTAAAAGCAGAACAATACCCTCAGCCTTTGTAGACTGAAGTGTACAACAATTGACAAACAAGATAAATTATGCTTTAAAAGCCCTCTTGTTCTTCATGTCCTCAATAAATTAGGTTTCATTTCCTCAAATATAAAAGCATTCTCTGTCCCATAGGAAAAGGGTCGGGATGATTCATATGTAGGTTTGTGAGATTCTGATTGTTGCTATTCTGTGGAAAGCTGGAAAAATAGTTAGAAGAATTGCTTAGCAATTTGTGACTAATAGACTTATAAAATATTAGTTTATCACTTTTATGGTGTCTTCTAATGAAATATCCTGTTTTTCATTGATCTTAACCTTTAAAATATTAAGAGTCTAAAACAATTGCATGGCCATAAAGAGACATCTAAAACAATTAAAAACAGTGCAGGAATATATGCTTGTTGTGGCTTTGATGGTAAGAGCATTTCCTAAGTGAACTGCTTTTCTCCATTAAAAAATCTAACCTCTGAATCACCATTTTAAGCATAAAAATAACATCCCCCTGCTTATGTTGAGAGATATTTGTTGTAATTTTTTAAGATATAGTCATAGGCACAGTATAGATACAAAGTAGTATTGGCTTTAAGGATGGATTAATTTAAAACAGAAAATGAGAGTATGGAGACATAGTCTTCAAATATGGCATCTGTAAATTATACTAAGATTTATAAATCCCAGAGTAGGCATATTGCAGTGGCTGAAATTTTTATTCTATTTCATAGATGAGTAAATATTGCTATAAAAGCACCATATCTCCTAAAATAGAGTCATCCTAGAGTAATTCCTAAATATTTTTTATTAGTTTATAATTATTGTAGTATTTAATCCTGACAAAAATATTAATTATGAACTTTCTATTCTTCATTGTGCTTGTATCTGATAGCATAATAGAAACCTATCTTTTCCTTGCTATTTCATGATCTTGTATTTCTATATAAATCAAATCTGCCATTTTTTAATGCTCTTTTATTTCCTCAGTGCTAATTTAAACTCAAGATCTTAGAAAGAAGATGGACTACTAGTACAAGTTAGCACTTCCTCCTCCTGTTTGTACTACATTTTTCTCTGCTGCTTATATTGCTTAATTGGTTTGGAGAAGACTTGCCTCCACACATATGTACTGCAAGAACTTTATTCAAGAAGGAAACAAAAATGAAACCAATCAACTTCACTGTTTACTTGATAAGGCAGAATGCTTATTCAAGGATTAAGATCATAATTTTTGTACTGGAAAGCTGCTACACTCTGCTTTATGAATAGGGCCAGCTGTAAGAGAGAATTTCAAGAAATACGCTGCAATCTGTTGGCTGCCACCAGCCCATTGGGAAGCCTGTGGTCTGAAATGCCTCTGTGCCACCCTGCATGTGTGAGTGGGTTGATCCCATCTTGGCCACATGTAGCTGCAAGCTGTGCATGTACAGGTAGAATCTGAATCCAGGCTTCTCTGATAGGTGCAAGTTCCTTGTGCTACATCTTGTTCCCGTGGCATCATCCTGTGTGACGTGTGGTGCGTGGCCACGCTTGCCGCGCTCTGCTTGGCTGGGGGCATCTGGCTGTCCCTGCCTGCCTCTGGGTGTCACACTGGCCCTGACAGCTTCCTGCATGGAATTCAGCCCCTGTCAAGGTTGATGAAGCCTCACCAAAGAGTTTTGGGTTTTTGCTGGCACTTTCCCCTGCCTTAAAACTCACTTGTGGATGGTATATATAATCTCACTTGCAGATGGTATATAATTATAATGATATTATAATTATAATATCATTCCTGGACATACCAAGGGGGAAAAAAATTACTCAGGTTGCTCAGCAGACAATCCATATTTTTGAATTTAATTCAGAAATCCAGATTACAGCACAGAAGTGTTTATATGGTTGGGGCACTCAATCCTGAGATTTTGGGTCCATTAACCAGCTAGCTTTATAAATTTGGATATTTAACTACTTTAAATTTAAAATTATTTCAAGACTAATTTTTCAAATTGCCGAGGGTGACTAAGGGGCAATGACTAATACATCATAATAGACTAATCATGTGGATGTCCTTTCCAGGCACCCAGATTTGAAAGTAAGATTTTGCAGAAATAAATGGCACATTTTTCTGTGATAGCCACACTCCATTTTTCTGCATGGCAAAAAAGCCTTTACTTTAAGATACTATATACTACAAAAATCTAAGTATTTCACATTTATTTCAGGAATATCAACATAGGAATGTATAAAAGTTAAAAGAACACCCCTGTATTTATGAACCTAAGGGAATTACTTTTTTTTTTCACAATCCAGTTTACAAAATTTCGGTCTCTGTGAATAAAGAAATTGACCATAATTAGCTAACCATGTCCTTTTTTTGTTGTTCCTTAAATTCAAAATAATCTAGCCTTAACTCAGAACAGTTTTACTTTCTTTAGGCTTTTTACTAGCCAAAGTAAAACATGTAAAAGTAGCTAGTAAAACATGTTTGCGATGTAGATCAGCTCTCCTGTGATTTATGAATGAGCACCATGTCTTCTGCACTCAGGGAAAAGTAACGTGAGGAAAGTATTTCATGTGTTTTACCTCTTCATGTGACCCAATAATTGGAAAAGAGGCAGCCTGACCCCTGAGACTTGACAGCTGTCTATAGTTCTTTAGTAATTCAAGGCAGAATATGGAGTAGTTGTGGGAGGCCACTACAGACTTAGAATTGTTTGGAAATTGTGGCAGATTCGCTCTGAACAATGATGGTCCTCTCCCCCTCTCCCTGTAAAGTTCACTTAGGTTATTTTCATGTTGTTTTTATTTTTAAAAGCACAGGACATATTTTACCCGCTTACACAGGATTTATAGAACAAAATTTGTGGGAAAATGTATTTATGTGTTTGTTTAATTTTGGGCACTGTAAATAGCCCTCTGATTTCACAGAGGGTGCTTGACACTGCACAAGGTTAGGCATGTGTGTAAGCCTCCATGAGATGGGGCCAGTATGAACTCCTGACTTCTCTAGATAGTTTAAACACAATTCTGCTGCTGCTTTTCTCTGTGTGTAAGCCTGAAATGCTGGAATTAGCAAATAGGTGCTAAACAGGGTACTGTGGGAGTACATAGAAAATATTAGGTTGTTTCCTTCCAGGATTGACTCTCTCAGGGCCATTTTCATAGACTTGTAGTTCTGCATAATCCAGATGTTCATGATGCCTTTTCCAGTGAAGTGCAAGATGTAAGAATGTGAACCAGAGCTCTATTTTCCATGTTATTCCAGGGCTGGCACAGAGTGGCCCTCAGTGAATGCCCCATTTTACACTGAGAGAAGGACAATCACCTTGAGCTGCCAGGCTGGCTGCTCTGCTTCTCCAGTCCTGCACTTGTCATTTTCTACAAATAACTGGCTATTTCTGTATGTGGCCCTTGGTAATCATTTGCTAACAAGGGCAACAGCAGTCATTTTAAGATTTGGGAAAAGGTAGCAAGAGCAATCCTCAGTGATGCTTTTAAATCCAGGGCAGCCTGCCTCGTCTTCATGCTTTGTGAAATGGATGGTGGCTGAGGAGAACTGAGGGCATGAACATACTGCGTTCTGCTGCCACTTGATATTCCAGTTCAGGGCATCTAACCTCATTTCACTTGGAAGCTAATGTAAGCAGTTCTTACTGATACGAGTACTAAAATAGGAAACCAATAATTCCTGGAATCTGCGTTGTCCTATTATGAATGTCAGACATTAAAGGGAACATTTCTTCGTGAAACTTTCACTCTAGGAATCAAATAGACTATTTTAGCCCCTCTTCCATTCATTTTAATATGAACGGCCATGTAAGTGCTCTCAGTAATAGTGCTATCCCAATTTTTGTGTGACATTCTGTCAACGATGTACATTAAAAAGAGATTATTAAATGGAAGATGCTTTTAGGTCCCCATATTTTTGCCATCTGAGGCAGGATCATTAGGTTAAGATAAGAAAATAACAGTGATCTGTAGCTATTACAGATTATTTAATGCAGTAAGGTAGATGATACCCTTTTAGAAAGAAGCCTGACAGAGGTAGAACAGTCACTGTAATTTATTTGGCAAGAAAAAACAGCATGAAGCTCTGTAATATCTGTGACAAAAAAAATAAAATTCACTTGAGTGAAATTCACTTCAGAGAGTGGCCTGCAGGAATGGAGCATGCTGGAATGTTAAGAAATGTGTTACAAATTGTTCATGTACCACTAGGTTCAGGAGCAGCAGTTGAGAGTGGCCTATGGTACTGAAGGCAGCAGGAAGAGGAAAAATACATTCAGCTTTTAGTGCTTGGTTTACTGCACTATTAATTGAAGACATTATCACAGTTGAACTGAGTACCCCAGTGCCAGTGTGGCTGCCAATAATAAAGAGGCAGCCATTGCAGTGAGTTATGCAAAATATTCCAGTGCTTAATACATAGCACATTAGCTCTTGTGATTAAATTAAAGCCTTTTGATTTGAGACCACTGATGTGAGTATTGTGGAATCTGAAGGAAATACAGGAGGAGATTTCCACAAAGGGAGGAGAGAGGAGAAGAGACCTCTCATGTTGCATGTCTGCTGAAAAGAAAAGGCAGGGCAAGACAGAGATTCCTAATCACAGCATTTCCCTCATTAGAAGTGTGTTTGTTGTCCCAAGAGTTAAAGCAAGTAAAGGCATGGTCCCAATTCTCACACCTCAAGTGTTCAGTATTAATAGAACATAAAGCTGATTAACTGTCTTCACAAGAAGCTCACCACACTGCCAGAGGACTGGACACTGGTAAGCCTAGTTTGTTGAAGGACTAACTTAAATGTTTAGTGGACAAATTCTATTTTCAGTGCAAGGATACTTTGAAGTTGCAATGGGCCTACTATGACAGTGTAAACTAAATGCAAGCAAGAACAACCTGGAAGCCAGTGTGAGGTACTTTGGAGGCCAAATTTAGTCCTAGTTATAAAAATATATTAAATAGAGTTTGATCAGTCAAGGCCCAGAAGACTGAATTCCATGTCTCTGACTGAAAGAGACTGAGTAATTTAGGCTGGAAAATACCTCTAAATAAAGTCTGTCCATTAAGAAGTTACAGACTAAAATGGGGTATTAAAATGGTTTGTAAGCAGGCACACTTTGTCAGTGGGAGAGAAGGGACAGGAACTTAGGGATGTGATTTTCATGGTTATATATGTAGGTATCCACCAGTTCTGTGACATCAGAGAGTAGTTCTCTTTGAAAGCTTTCTCCATGGTTTAAGATAAGTGAGTTTTAGAGGAATGCTGAGTTCAGGGAAGACAGTGAATGGGATTTGGAAGTGCATTTGGGAGAGCACCAAGCACAAATGTGTAAATGAAGGAAGAAACTCAGAAGCTGATGTTATTAGTGGAGCAGGAGAGAAAGGGGAAGGTACCTTAGAGGTCCAGATCAAAGCCCTAATGAAACATTGGACTGCACTTTCTGACTGGGATGAGAGAGGGTAAATAGGAGACCGTGACTGGTACTAATTAAGTTGCTTAATGTCTTACCTAGTGAGAACTCAAAATCTGTTGTGGAGAGAAATAATCAGGTGCAGTATTTTTTAAGGGCTATAGAAATGAAAACTATGAGTAAGAGTTAGTAGCTGTGACATTTGTACTGGGAAGAAATTGGCCCCGTTTTAGACATACAGTGAAGTCATGTATTAATGAGGCCCATGCCAGTCACTGCAGATAATGTCCTTCTTAAAGAGCTGACAGCCTGAAGTGTAACACTAAGAGCTGACAGCCTAAAGTCTTACGACTGAGCATACAATACACAGTAGTGATCAGCTTGGCATTACAATTTATTGAAATAGATCAATGTGCAGGAATCACAAAGAAAGAAAATCTGTGGAAAAACATAGGCATGGTCAAAGTTGTCAATTGCAATGAAAAACTATTTTTGTGCAGAGCAGGCTTGTGGAAAAGGGCAGGTGGGAGAGGAAGTGGCAAATGAAACACTGAGTTTAGCATAACTTTCAAAGTGGTTTTACAAATAAGCATCAAAGTCTGAGAAGACAAGGCTGAGGAAATTTCTCAGGGAGTCTTAAACGCAAAAGAAAGACATTGATTATTTCAAGTCTGATCCACATGTTAAGGAAAGATTGCTTTCCCAGGAAATTAGTTGCTTTTACCTGCAGAACATAAATTAATGTTTTGAGGGGACAGGAATCTATCTAATATTCCTAAATCTGCAGCTGCTACCAGTGTTTCAGTACTTTTTAAATAAATACCTTTTTTTCTTTCAGAACTGAGTTGTAGTGTTTTATTTCCCAGACAAGACTGCATTTTGCATTCAAGAGTTAGGGTTTGGCATGTTAATAATCATGAGGTAGTTGTCAGAGTGGAATCACTGCTATTTCTGAGTTGCTCCACCCATCATCTTCTTTTTGGAGGCTTTTTACAATTGCTTTTAGTTTTCCTTTGGTTTTGTGCATCTTCAGTGGGGTAACAGAGGTGTCTTCTAGAACTTATGACTGCATCATTTAAATTTATCACTAAGAGAAATTTAAGTCTGAGTTTAGAAGCAGCCAGAAAATCCACATTGCACCAGATCATTGCCTGGTGCTGAATATTTTATCTTTGGTTATATCAATAGAGCTACAGTATTTTACATCAGGTTAGTATTTCACCATTCCTGTGTTCCAAACACCCAGATAAAACTTAGAGTGAGATGAAAGAGTAGAAGAGTTGAATCACTCTTTAGGAAGCAAAAAATGTTAAGTAAATAGAATTCTTTCTGCCCATCAGTGAGCTGGGATAACTTAATTACATAGGACTGGAAAAAACAGCTAAGCCAAAGCTCCTAAAACATTTCCTTCTATAAATACTTGTATTGAATTGGCAGCAATTGTTTAATGTAATTTGGGCTGTTCCTCTACATCAGCTCTGATACTGGTGTTTATTATTCTTGGAAACATTAGCTGTCTCTGAGAGCTTCTCAGTTTTAAATGAGAAGCAAAAATGTTAGTTTAGGAACAGTTGTGGGTGATTGCCGAGATTTTGAAAAACCAAGAAGGGAATAATTAATCAAAACAACTATCTGATCAGAATGAAATATAAAAAAGAGAGTGAATTTATTTTACTTAGGAACAAAATCAGGAAAAAGCAAAAAGGATAATTTGGTTCTGAATTTCCCTCCTACTTTATATAACATATATTTTTATTTGATTAGCAGTACCCAGGCATTATTACACAAAAACTAGGGTTCTGAAATGGTTTCATCCATCATAGTTAGCTACTGTCGTACTAAAGGACTGGTAGTTTCTTTGTAAATTATTTTATTCTTTGTATCAGCTGTAACTTGAATAATTACATTCTGGTAGCATGTCTATAAAGAAGTACCAATTCTTTGTCAGAATTATTCATACACAGAAGGACTTGCAGAGAAAACAACCCAGAAGTATTTGTATAAATACTGATGACCTATAACACACAAAATGTAAGCATATGAGAGTAGATGCCTATGTGGCTGTTTGGAATATCTGGATTTCCTGGAACCTCTCTGTGGGACATATTGCCTGAGACTGCATTTGCTCTTCAAGAGGTCATTGCATCCAGTGCTTGAATACCACATCCTGTCTTCTCTGTGTGAATGTCATAGATTCTGTCATAGAGCTTCCTAAAAATAGCAGTCCTAAACTTCCCCTGTACATCCTGCTGTTTGTGTAACAGGATTTTCAGTGATCTGGTTTTTCCATGCCTATCCTTTAAAAATACATTACATGTAAAAATACATGTAAAACTCCTGGAAGAAAGAAGGTCACTAAGTCTAAATATTGTGATAGAAGTGATTTTTATTTAAATGTGTGTTTGGTTCTGGCATTCCAGGACTGTTGAATCACATATTGGCCATAAAATTCATAGCATAAATATAAATGATAAATATCATATACCTATCTCTATTTATATCTAGATAATATGGAAATATTTCCCCTTCCACAGCATTTTAACAGCAGTGAAAGAACAGCTTAGTCCCATATATTGTTATGAATCTTGTATTCTTTCCTAGTGTTATATACATTTGAATGAGACTTTGTTTTGTCACCTTTATCCACATGGTGGGATAAACCTAAGGTGTCAGAGCTAAACAGCACTTTTCTTTAGCCCTTGTTTTAAAATCCTTGAACAGACTACTGGAAATTTAATCCATTACAGTGTAGAAAAAGGTACTGCAGTCAAAATAGGGGCATGTTCCATGTAGGTAATATTCCTCCAAACAAAAATATTTTAAGTGTGTGTGTGTATAATAATTCATGTAACAGCAGTGGATCATTCAGGCAGGCACTCTAAATCTGGCACCCTAGTGTGGTGCATTAGAAGGGGTGATTGTTGTGTGTCCCTTAATGCTTTTTCTCACATTGTTAATTGAACTAACATAATCAGAGGGAAAATCCTAGTTTTCTACTATTTTAAAAGCTTTTTATTTATTCTTTTCCTCACACAGATTGTTTTGTGGGATAAGCCTGGGCTTCATGGTGCTACTTTATTGTTCCATAGTAGCAATTAACTGATTTTATTTTTAAATCTCTTTTATAGATGAAAGAATTCCGAAGTAAGATGCAATCAATCTTTCCAGCAATTCCTAAAAGTAGTGAGTCCAGTGTTGAATGGGAAAACTTACTTAAATCCAAGTGAAAGACTCAGAGCCATTTGGAGATATCTTCCAGCAAGAACAGGAGTGGAAGTAGCAGAAGTGTCCCCTCTGGAAAAACAAAGAAGACTCAGACTGAGCAAGTTACTGACTGAGTGCATTGAACTTGGGAATGCCAGTTAACATCCAGGAGGAAGTGACTTCAAACCAAACCAAACCAATATATGCTGTACTTTTCAGCATATTTGGTATAGTTGATTAATGAGAAAATGAACCCTCCAAGATAAGTTGGATTCATCTGGAAAGAAGAGTTAGAGAAGAAACTAATATTGCTTGGTAAATATATTAATATAATCCCAGTAAACTCCTGTCCCATCCCGCATTTCAAGAAGAATTTGATGAAATTTCTCTAGGAAACAAGAACAGTACTTTTAGTGACTTGTCCTATTAGGAATATAAGCATCAAATCAATCATAACAGATCTCTTGCTGAGCCTGAGGGTAAAGCATATAGTACTCTCTTCAAAACTAAAGGACATATTTGAATTTACAACGAAGTATCTAAATCATTTTTATATGTCTGAAGAGTTAGTTTAAAACTCAATATGCAAGTTGTGACTTATGAGCTCCTCTGCAGAGCATCAGAAGAGATCTCCACAAAGTTCACTGTTTTCTCAGTATTAACTTTTTAAAATTGGATCCCACAGTAATGAATCGGATTGTGTGTATAAAAGTCTCTGCTATATTTGTATATCAATTGAAATAATAAGTGAAAAAGGTACAAAACAGTGAGACACCCAGTCAGTCCTACGCAAATGTTTTCAGCTAAGAAAGTGTATGGGCAGGACTAATTTTGTGTGTCCCAGTCATTTCTGTGGCTCTTCTACCAGGAGAAGCAATGTGACATTTTCTACACTGCAGTAATCTCATGAAGTGTGGGTGTAAACTACAAAGAGTAATGTCTTACTCAAATGTTGTATTTGCAGAACTGAAGATACATAAAGCTGCAGAAATAAAAAAAGTCCTATCAGTGAACTGTCCTTTGTTGCTCCGTTACGAGATTTTCTTATTAATTGCACAAAGTCCAGTTAGTCAGTTGTCAGATTTAATAAAGTCCTTTTAAAACTTGTCTTTTGTGATTTAAGTCTTTATATTCCTAGCAAAGAATATAAAAAAGCTTTAAATGACAGATAAAGAATGGAGAAATATAGTTTTCCTATGAAACATGACACAAAAATAATACCTTTAAAACAATTAAAGTGTAATAATTGACGTCTTTTCCAGAGCTTTTCCATTGCTTGTAATTCAATATTAAATATATTGTAGTGAATACTGCCATCATACACACATGAAAAATAGTAGAATTTTTGTATTTTTTTAGTTTCATGTGAGTGGTGATACCTGTTTTGCCTACAGTTAAGCATATTAGTGCTGACTTGCCAAGTTTAACAAGCAGCTGTGTCATTATAGCTGGTCAGATACTGAAATGGACTAAATAAATGCAAATTGCATGATGTCCTTAGGATTACTTTTAGTTTCTGAGGTAGGATTTGGGTCATCTTCATCTGGGTTAAATAGCTCACCTAAATCAGTCATTCAAAGTGCCTTGCATGTTCAATGGAGAAAGGCTGGCTAGAGGCTGGCTTGCCCTGTACTGAAGTGAATGGCAGTCCCTGGAATTGTACAAAGCGTGGGATCCGTCCTGCCTGCTGGCTGCCTTTGGAGAGAGCTGTCCTACCCTTGCTTACCCCCATTGGCGCAGTGACTGCACATGGACACAGTTCAGGAGAAACTCAGAAGGAAAATGAGTGTTCTTCTAGCACTTTAGAGCTCTGAGGGATAGGTAGGTGTGAGTCTTGGCACGAGAGAACTGTCTTTCTGGAAATGGTTAGCCATTGGATTAGTGTAACTGTATTATTAAAAAAAAAATTCATTATGACAGATCAGAGTACTTAAGTCTGGGGGTGCCCAGTAACAAGGACATACCAGATGATGCTCCTCAAAAAATGCTAACAGTGAAATATACAGACAAATCTTTAAAATAGAATCACACTTACTGGGCAAGTACAGAGTGATAACACAAATCCATGTTGAGGTATAAGGCTGAACATTAAACATGTTTCAAAGAGAGAGGAATTCATAGCTCATCATATTCCAAACTTTATTCTGTGCTTTTGGCTGGAAATGGATTTTCTCTAGATAAGAGTTTGTGTAGAAGAGTGCAAGCATAAATCAAGTCTCAGTTGACATGAAAAACACGGGAGATCTTGGATATTTGTTACTGCAGTGTGCAGCTCTCTTCACTCAGTGAACATTCTGCTGGTTTTGTGATGGGTCATTTTTTCTTTCTATGAAACTAATTGTCAAAGAGTTACTGGAAAGCACAACAAAAGGTTGAACAAATAGTGGGAAAAGTACTTGGTATACTAATAGCTGCTAAATAACATAGTGTATGTAGTTACTGAAACTGAGCAAATAAAATTTAGATTAAAAACAACAATAGAAAATAGACATTAAAAAAAAAACCTAACAATTTTTCAAATTGAAGTAGATACTGGTGCAAAAAAAGTTAGTGGATCAGTGACCCCCTGACAGCTTTCTTTTATTTAAAAATGGCTTACTCTCCTTCTGTTTCAAGGAAGTGTAAGAACAAAACAGACGTTTATTTTCATCAACTTTTTCCTGTGCAGAAAATTACACTGAAGTAAGGTGATATTTGCAACAATGATACTCAGAGTCGATAATGTAGAATAGGCCACAGGTGAGTTTAAATTGTTTCAAGCTACTCTTCAGCTGGTCTCTTTTATTTCTGCTGATTTTTCTCAACTTTCTGGTCACATTTAGTTGTAGGAATAACAGAGAGCATGTATGTTCTTAAAATTAGCCTGTAGGCTAATGCTTAAAAATCCACAAGCTTCCTCCATACTCCTGTGTTGCTTAGAAGCCAGAAGAAAAAACAAAAGGTGATGAGGAAACATCAGGAGCCTGCCCTGCTCTGCTATGCTCATGATTACAGAGGGAGCTCCCACAGTACCAATAGCCCCAGAGTCACTAACAGTGTATTTGCTCTAGAAGGTAGCAAATTAAAACAAACTGGGAATGTTTGTTTAAATTGGTCCACTGCCCACTCTGGCAAAAAAATCTCAGGGGCTTTTGCTGTGATTTTTGTCACCTATGGAATTTGCTGACTTAAACTAGGCTCCTAAGAGCTCATATTTTCAGAAAATTCAGGTCACCTAACATGCACGCAGAACGGAGTAGCCTTCAATATTTAGGCTGTCAGTCAAAACTCTCCAGAGAGTTACATGCCTGAAATGCAATTAAGGATGAAGAGCTGAATCAACACTGTGGGAATCTGGGCTGGTGGTTGAAGAATTTCTAGATGTTTCAAACCTGATAGGCCAGAAAACAATCCCATCTGGGCAAATGGCCTGTTTTGGCAATCGGGATTAAGCTGACAGAAGTTTTCTGTAATTTGTCTATTTCTTTCATAGTGTGGACATATTGTTAAATTAGTTAATGGGAAGAAAAAATGTTTAACAGCTAATGCAATCCTTTATGTGGCATGCCATCTGTGTATTGTGTGCTGAATGTCACTGGCTGTGAGAGAGAGGAAATCATAAAGAATTTCAGCCTTGTCTTCTTTACTGTCATTATCTTGGGCAAGTATGATAAATAATCATATTTATGTTCTGGAGCATATACAATTTAAATCAACCTATTAACCAGGAAAACATTCTTCACAGACTTGGGAAGGCACAAAAAAGACATCATCTTACCATAAGCAATCCATTTCATGGGTGCTGAGCACTACAAATTTAGAATGGAGTGAACAGACAAGTTATTTTTCCTTTCACATTTAAATAAAGCTATATGCAGAGACTTTATTCAGGCATATTTGAGGCCTAATCCTGAGGTTCTGGAAGGGAACAAATCAGATTTTGTAGTCTGTTATGCAGATAGTTTAAGAAATTTTTAATCCTCCATGTTGTAAAATCATCAGTTTTATTTAATTGGACACGTGTTTCTGTGAAAGACTTCTTGCTATTAATTGGAGTTTCAGGAGAATCAGTTCAGTTATTCATCAGCCTGACAACTGGATCCTGCTCTCCTTCCAATCTGAGGTGTTACTCTGATCATCAGCAGAGCAGCGAGCAGGTAGTTGACAATGAGCAATTTGGGTATGGGTGCAGTTCTCTCCCACACTCACCTGCCAGTGCAAGGCTTTCCTCTCCCGAGGATGGAGGTGCAGCTGTCACTCACCCACTCACTCACTCACTCACTCACTCACTCACTCACTCACTCACTCACTCACTCACTCTCACTCACTCTGTCACTCCAAAGAGTTTGAGCAGTTGTCAATTGCTCTGCAGCACAGCCCGCTCAGCCACAGGAAAGTTTCCCAGACCAAACCTCTGTTGCCATATGTATGGCTTAGGAATATGCAGGGACAGCACCTGCCTCATTAGCCCCTGCTGAATCTGTTTCATTGAATGTAAATAACACAGTGGTTATTACATTGGAGACGAAGAGGAAAAACCTTAGGAGCTGACTGACAATTTTGTGGTCAAGCTATTGACTTGGGATAGGAAAGGGTAAAGTTCAAGAATATCTAACGTAAAGGGGGAAGAGTTTTGACAGTGGTGAGGGATGCCTCCTGTGCCAGATATGCCCCAGAATAGTCTCCTGGGACATGAAGACCTATTTAAAATTCAATGCTTTCTGCTTTGCTCTTCCTTTAAAAAGACCCAAAAAAACCAACTCAGAATGGGAACATTTACTTTCATGGTTGGTTGGATTTTTCCAGTAGAGAAACATTTTCTGAATTCTTCCCTAGAAGAAACATTTTCACCACAAGTCTGAATTTACTTTTATTGTGCACCGCTGGACTTGATTTGCATTTGTCTTTTCTGTAAGGCCTCTGGAGTTCTTGCAAGCAATAGCAACTGATTAAACTTTACTCCTGATTCCTATCCTTCCCCTTGGCTGTTGGACTATGACTTAAAATTGATAAAATGTAC